GTAGAGAGTTTTAGCATCACGTTTACGGCAAACGGCTAACGGCAGAGCTAAACCAATGACCTAAGAATTTAGTGCCCGACCTTGTGCTTTTGGTAGTCATTTGAAAGAGCGGCTTTTCACGATTATGGCAACCTCAAAATAACCCGCTCTTGCGTTGAAACTGAAACGTTAAACTCAAAAAAAGCAGGTCACGTGATCTTTTCTGCCGTTTGGCGTTTGCCGTGAACGTCATGCTAAACCTCTCTCATATGTAGGATATGGCGCGACAAAGTTATACTCCACGATCACCTGTCTCCAGGCCATCGGCGTCAAAATGTCTTGCAGTCATTCGAACGTGTCCGTAATCCTTAAAGAAGATTGTAACATCCTCATCTGCCAGGGAAGATTACGGACAGTTACCATGGACCAAGAGGCCGAAAAAACAGGGCCTTCACAAAGAGACCTCTCGTAAAAAGATTTTCCCTTGCTAACARCTGAACGTCAGCTCTTGTGATACCCAACGTTTTGCGTGACAGATCATAKGCCGCCCAACTATTGTTTCAGMGAAGGAAAAGAACGAAGAATGCGCACGCTTTTCTTGATTTACGGTAGTACTATTATCGGCGCGCGCTCAAAATGCGGGTTACCTGTGGTATGACGTCAGTGATCCCTTGCCTCGCCGGATCAAAAACTAGTCTGTGACTCTCTGAACTYAATTAATGATTTTTACAGAGAATTCACAAAATTTTCAAAGAAGTTGAATTAAATGAACAAGAAATGGTGGGTTCTCACCCGACCACGCCAAAACTTTAAAGCAAAAATGAAAAAAAAAGCACACTGGGTGTTGTCACAATACCACGCACAAAATAAACTTCTCAATACTTTAAAAATAACTCAACTTTTAACTCAAGATTAAATTACAATAACAATTTATTAACAAAAAAAAGGAAAAAACTAAACAAAAACCGGAAAATAGCAAAAAAAATCACTGCGGATGGGCGATGCCAAAAACGCCGCCTTGAACAGCCTGAAATCGTAGGATTTTGAGGAAAACTAGTTTCGTTTTATGCAAAAACCTCTTCAACTCCTAAAGTTTATACAATAGTGGAAATTTAGAAAATCTTGTAATCCGACATAAAGAAATATCAAATGCATACTTAGTAAGTGTAGTATCATTATACATGATGTTTTTACTTGGTGTACTTGAACATAAATTCGTAACGCCGATTGCGGTCTCCCTGTGTAGCTAAAATTTTAAGATGGCGGACATGAAATGCTTATTTACTCGTGTTTATTAAACTGTTTCTGCTCTGTATAAGGTGAGAAATTAGTCAGACRTTGTTCTTACTTTAACTCTAAATTCATCCAGGCTTCAAAATAGCACACTTCGTTGGAATAGCGAATTAGTTACAGAACGACAAGATATTTTGCTTGCAGGACTTTCAAGTTGTGATGAGTTTTCCTGATACCTACGTAAGAGGATTTCATAACGAATCTCTGGTCTTAAACATGAAATATCGTCCCCTTGGTAAGACCGGACTACAAGTTTCAACACTTAGTTTCGGTAAGACAAGTTATGATTTKTAGGTTTTTATCTTGAATTTAAGCTTATTTTAGCAAATTGTACTGTAGTGGAAGTTTGATCATTTCATTCATACTACATCTGTGGTGCTCTCGCAATTTTAAACAAATGCTTCACTATGTGAACTCTTTGAAAAACGTTTTTGACTTAGAGCTTGACATTTCACAAGAGTTTGATAAAACATGAAAGTAATATAAGGATAATGCACCAGTCATTTGATATCGACCCCCACCTGAGGAATAAGGCCATGAACTTTTTCCTTATGTGTAATGCAGTGACAGCTCTTCAATGAGGGGCAAGAAATAAAAGTGAACTCATAACAAAGGATTGCAATCTGGACTATGCATATACAATATAATATTGTGAATATTTATTAGAATAAGTCTTTTAAACTCTTTACAGTATTATGATGCTTATTTTTCCAGCCTTTAAATTTGCACTSCATCCTTTCCTCCTTAACAATAATGTGTAGCAACATCAACTCCATGTGAAGAGATCAGTGAAACTAAAAARCTCMCAAATTCAAAGGGTGCTTAAAATCTCTGTATAATAGTTTGTACATACAATCATTTAGATATATTGAGAATCACATGTTCAGGATTTTAAAACCAAATATAAACTGATGTGGAACAAAACCACAGAGAAGTTCACCCCTGACTGTAATCTTGAAGTCAATGAGTAACAGTGTAATTGCTTTGTATCAATAAATATTAAGTTCAATAAATTAACTAACCCTAGATTAATACAAAATAAAAAAAAAATAAATTAAACATATATTCAATAAATAGGTTTATGGATGTTAAAAACACATTAAATGTTCAAGTTAAATTAAATCATTGTAAACTATGTAATGTTTATGTGCACTATATTAAATGAATAAATAGGTAAAAAAGTGTTGAATAAATACTGTACAGTGTCTCTTAATAAAATGGTCTTTTTAAGGGTAGTAATACAATGCATAGTTTTTGAGACAGAAGGTGATCTTGAATGATGGGTTTAATAATGGTGCATCAAATTCCTTATAAAGAACCTGTGTCAAGCAAATATAGTTTAAGGTTACAAAGTTAGGGAAGGCCTTTCCTCTTGATCTCCACCTTGGTCATCAAAATAACTATATGGGATTGCTTGGATAGATAAGGAATCAGAACTGTGGGTTGAAAACCTCCCAAAATTCGTTGAACACTAAGCAAATACATTACTAACTCACATATTGCTAACAATTGACCCTTTTCATGAAGTGATGAACTTTACAAACTTCACTGTGCACAGGAACAGTGAAAGGGACATTGCATTCCATGTAGATTGGGCCATAAAACACACAGCTTACATGGACTTTTTTAACATCATCTCTTCTTAGCCAGTCGAAGGTCCTAAAAAGAACTAGTGACATTTTCACTGAAACATGTAGCTGCAAGAAGCTGCAAGTATGAGTCAATGGCAAAGTTTGATAGCCATTTATCCTCACTAGGTTTTGCATATTTGCCAGAAACTACTTTAATATAAGATTTCCATTACCCCTGAATACTATACTCTCTTCTAGTAAAGTTGATACAACTGTATCTTGATAAGTTGGGAATGTGTATGGCACACTTTGTGATAAGAGTCATTCTCTAGATGTGTTGGTGGCTTGCTTTCAGTCTTCAAAGAAGGAACTCTCCTTGTTTTCGTACTATCTTCAACAGAGGGAGGTGGATTGGCATGTCTTTGCATTTTCACTCTTTAAAGGAGTAACATCTCTTTTATTGGTAGTAAAATTCTTCTTGGAAACTAGAAGGGGAGATGGGGATACCCCAAATGAGGTAATGTACCTGTGTAGCACCGACAATTTAAAAAAAAGGCACATAATGCTCAATATCACGTACACGGTCTAAGACGAAGGTATAGGAAGCCCTTTCTCCTGAGAACAGTTCACACAAGAGTTGTGCATCTCCAGTAGCTTTGTCTTCATCTGATTTCAATAGTTTGTTCAACACGTCAAAAAGTTCAGGCAGGACGACATATCCTTCTTTGTTTCTGGAAATGCTTTTCAATAAGCCAGATAGTGTGCACTTGTCCATGAGGAAATTGTCAATATTGTGGTTTTCTTTCAGAGTTGACATTGGCAGATTGCTTTAATGTCTGCAGTAGAACAAATAGAAGGTACTGGTTAAAGGGCATGTCTTGATTTTTGTGAGTAATGAGTCTCTGCTTATGATGTACGCCGTCCAGGCAAGGATGCACAGCACCAAGTACCTATGCTAGTATCCATCGAAGTGGCACGTTTATCCATAAATTCAAATACATTGTTTTTAAAAACATCTTTGAAATGGTAAAAGGTTATTTTTGCAAGTTTTGAAGAGGACATGTTACTAGTATGAGTAGTAGCTTTAGAATTGTTTCATGCGTTCAATGACCGTAAGCCATGTTTAATGAACTAACTCATTACATGTGCTTTTCATGCATGATATGATTGACAGTTACATTACGTAATCAGATACCGGAAGTGGTAAACCGGAAGTAAACATATTGTAACATCTCCCTTTCTTTAAAAAATCACAAACTAATTATCTATAAAAAAACTGTAACAATAAACTTTAAAAATCCTAAATGTCTGTAAACAACTTGTCCTTGTTATTTGGTAAATAATAAACATAAGTCATAATAAATCTAAAAATAATTTCTTGAATTTCAGTAATCATAATGTTCAAAGTTCCTTTTATTTAACTATTTGACATAGTCTTTGAATCTTGCTGGTTCTTTGATTGTCCTAGAACTAGTTCTTCTAGCTTGCTGTGGTGTTATAGCTTGAGAAGAGATTTCAGG